ATCCTTTCGAAGCTAGTGTTTGAAAAATTAAACGACTATGGACTCCGCTTTAACGTTTCCAAATCCATAATCTGGCACACACAAAAATAGAATTCTTGGGTAACTTAATTATTCCTCAAGGATCACGACCTTCACCTGACAAAGTCCAAACTTTTATTAATTACAAACTTCGAACAACAGTTCACGAACTCAGAACATTCTTAAACCTTATTAATTTTTATCGGCGATATTTAAAAAATGCATCAAAAAACCAACCTATCCTACATGACTACCTTAAAGGAGCACGGAAAAAAGATAAATGGAAAATTCAGTGGACAGATGAAGCTAAGGAACAATTTCAAAGATGATTTAGTCAATCACTCTTATCAGTTCCGAATCATGAAATACCTCTGGCGTTATATACAAATGCTTCAGACTCGGCGATTGGAGTAGTACTTCAACAATTTGAAGATAAGGAACGGAAACCTCTTGCATTTTATTCGAAAAAACTAGACGAAGCACAAACGCATTACGATAAAGAGTTACTAGGAATTTACCTATCCATCAAGCATTACAAATTTTAATGGAAGGAAGAACATTTAAAAGAGTCACAGAACATAAACCCATAATCTTTGCATTTGAAAAAAAGCAGAAAAGCATCACCTCGTCAATTTAGACATTTTACAATACGTCTCTCAATTTTCAACTGATGTACAGCACATAGAACGTCAAGACATCATCTTGCAGATACTTTATCTAGAATTGAAAAAATTTCTTCGGTCGACTACGATAAAATTGCAGATGAACAAATCGTGGATAAGGAATTTCAAAGTTTGAAGACATCAGCAATTTCCCTGAACTTCAAGCAGTATCCGCTACCTTCTGGGAAGTATTTGTGGTGTGAAACTTGAACGAATAATATCAGACCATATCCCTGACAGTCATCGCAAGAAAATATTTCAGTAAATGCATAACGCAGCCCATCCTGGCAAAGTCATCTGTAAAGCTCTTATCGTCTAAATTCATTTGGCCAAGTACCCGTAAAAATGTGCAGATTTAGACTCTATTTTGCATGGCTTGCCAAAACACTAAGATTAGTCGGCACTCAAAATCAAGTTTCGTTGATTTTCGACTGCCTTCAAAACGATTTTTTGGTGCATATTGATTTCATTGGATCCCTATCGCCATCAAATGAGAATATTTACTGTCTCACTTGCATCGACTGGTACTCTAACTGAATGGAAGTGATTCCACTTAACAACATTGCAGTAGACAAAATTGCCAAAGCATTTTATTCTAACTGGATTTCAAGATTTGGTACACCATGTCGCCTAGTCACAGATTGGGGAACACAGTTTAGTTCAGAGCTGTTCAACAACGTATCAAAAACGTGTGGAATAAAATTGCAACATACAACGGCTTACCATCCCCAAGCAAATGAGAAGGTCGAGCGCCTCCATAGATCTCTCAATAGCGCACTTATGGCACACAGTAGTCTGGCCTGGAGTGAAACACTTCCAATCTGTTCTTCTTTGCCTACGGACAGCTATGCAAGAAGACTCTGCATACACCATTGCTCAAATGTTTATGGGCAAAATATGCGATTACCTGGAAAATGTTTCCAAAGTAGCACATCTCCTAAACCACCTGATATTTTTCTCAAGCAGCTAAAAACAAACTATGGAACAAATTGGGGGACCAATAACAGTATCCGATAAATATGTCCAAAACATATTCATACCTAAAATTTGAAAACAACATCACATATGTTTATTCGCAAAGGCAGGTTAAAAAGCAATTAAAATCTCCTTACGATGGTCCTTTCCAAGTGGTTGATAGAAAAGAAAAATATTTTACTATGAAAATCAATGAAAAAGACGTTACAGTGTCTATTGACTGATTAAAGCCTACATATTTCTTGCAAATACCAGACGTTACTACGAAGCAATCAACAACGTCAATAAGACAACCTGCCAAACTCCAGCAGACTTACCTCCTAAAATTAAAAAGCTTCCTACAAAAAATAGTCGCGTATAGTACGGACAAACCCTGCGCGATTTTGGGATTAGCATTTATATATACCTATAATGTAATTTTGTAAATAGCGTGTTTTGAAGATAATAATATGGTCTACCGTAACTTAGTTACTGGAAAGGGAGTACTGTTGTGACTTATACAGAAATTTTTAAAATGGTTATTATCGTTTTATTTGTTTTTTGTTGTTTTTGGAAAGGCAACGAAACGATTATTCACTTTCATTGTTCTAAAAATTGTGTATGTTCGCTAAGAGTTTTAATAAAGATTACTTTCGAATAAAAATTGCGAACTAAAGTTATTTAAAGAAACGGATTTCTTATTATGAACATTAATTTGGAGTCAGGAGCCAATAAATCTACTTAAAATCTCCTTTTTTGAATCACATCCATTCTTTTAGCTTGATAGCACGTGAGAATTTCTGCTGAAGTTTCCGATTGTGGTGCCAATATAGCAACTTTAAAAGTGCTCCGTCGTGTACACATTGTTTAATCAAAGACACACAAGTCTCTTCTACAAAACTCGAAATATCTTTCTAAATTTGGCCAGCTTTAGCTGAAAACGTTTGATTTCTACGAGTATTTAAAACATAGGTCCTTTGCTTGTTAGATAACTGCGCTTTATTTCCGAGCGATATTAAAATCCTAAGAATAACAAAAACACAGACGAAACATGCACAATGTCTGAGATGTATGCTCTATCCCATTCGCTTCTGAACTGGAAGGTAATATCTCTTCCCAGCCGGTTATTTCGCTTTCAGAGGAGAGGAAATTCCGACATAATTTGAAGCACGATCGTTTGGGGAGCAGACGATATTATTCCTACTTTTGCTTCTAGAAACAAAAATGAGGTTTTCTTTTCAAGCCGTTTGGCAGCAAAGTGCTGAATAATACTGAATGATACTTTTATATATATAAAAATGATTCCAGCTTTTTTTTCAACTCGCTGAACCTCTTTTACAGGAGCAAAGGGAGCATTTTTTTCTCAAACGAAATAAAAAATATTATAAAAATGTGCTTTTTTATGTGGGATCTAAATATTTATTTATCCAGCACTGGAGAATAATATGATCAGATCTATATTTTTTCTCTACTACGTGAGTTACGGGGTCATATTTTCTGGAAGATTTCTTTTACCTCTTTTGGTACAATAAAGATGCCTCAGTTGAGAAATAAAAAATCCTGCTCTTTTCTTTTTTCGCCAAAAAAGAGATCTAGAAAAGAGTAAACGCTTTATTTATGATCTTAGCTTGTTTTTTATATTGCTTTCCTAAAAGTATTAAATTTCTTGATTAAAATTAGGATCTTCTGCTACTAAAGTTTATAGTTCGCAGAAAGTAGAAATAAATGGAATACTGTATGTTAAAATTATATTGTGTAGTAAATCTCTGTCGAGTATATAGTATATGCAATGCAAAGTTAGGGATATAAAATAAAAATTTGTATTTTTAACATAAATCAAACTTAACGAAAACAGTTATAAACTGTCTTTTGGGGAGAGGAACGTTAATTCTCAAGAATTTATTTCTTTAGTCCTGGTTTAGAGGATATCTCAAATTTAATAAACATGTTAACAAGAACATTATTAACACGAAATTACCTACATCACTGAAATTACCTTATATTAACATTTACAGCGGAACAGAATATGAAACATTATACGAAACATTATAGTTTGTTACTTTAAAATAGACACTTCAAGGCCTTTACAAGCCCTGCCTCAGTCGCAGTCTAAACTCATGTTGTCATCACAGCGTAGCATTTATTTTCTTCACGTCACTTGAGACTTCACCTCGAGTCCGCCTTTATTAGCATGCTTCTTATAAAGCGCAACACGCTAAAAAGAAATGAATTAGGGAAAAATAAAGTGAGCCGACCTTTTCTTCGCATTTGTTGTTCCCAAGTTTACGAGTCGAATTGGAAGGACGAATTTGATCAGAAAGTTAATATTTTAAAATTATATAGTATCAAGTTGACATCATTCATTAATGTTAATGTTAAATGTCGATTTGTATCCTTCCTAGATTGTAAGATTTATTTTAACATCGCAACTTATTTAATTAATGCTACGTTATTTCTTACATACTGAATATTTTTTGCACCTTTACAGTTCATCTACTCAATCCGAAAATTTAAACTTCATCTATACTAATTCAATATTAATCTACATTCTACAGTAAATGTAAGCAAAAAGAGGAATGAATCAAGATTGCTTTGAAAATGTTATCACTGTTCTAAGAACTAAAACCAAATTTTCGAGAAAGAACTTTAAGAAGTATTATAGTATATCCGTGCGTGGAAATACTGGCAGCATGCTGTGTATACGATGCTTCTTTTCTTTAATGTATTTTCTTTAAATATTTTCGATGTAAGAACAAAAAATAAAAATAATCATAATTCGGAAATAGAAATTAGAAAAAGGAATTATTATTTTAATCTTCTGTCGAGATAAAAAAAAAAAAAAAAAAAAAAAAAAAAAAAAAAAAAACATTTATTCGTTTAGGTTTAAGTCTATTAAGAAATTTGTACAAAGTTTTTAGTATTAAGAAATTTGTACAAGTTTTTAGTATTTCTTGCTTTCAGTGTTGAGGCAAAATAAGCACAAAATACATAAAATTATAAAGCTAAAATTGGCAAACAATAGTTCACCATAGTTTACACTCTTTTGCACTCTAATAAAGCTATAATAAAATTTATAGTATCTGAGAATTAAAATGTGTGTGCGTATATTGTGAAACGTATTCTTAAGAAATGTTATTAAAAATATGCTTTTCGAATTGAAATGTATTAAAGAAGATAAAAATTAATTTAATAATGCCAATTTGAAACCCAATTAGAATTGTATTATAAAATAGAAATTTCTCCAAAAAAATTATGAAAACTTATCTAATGTTCTTACGGAATTTTGCAAATTTCCTTGCATATATAACAAAGAAGTTACATGTTATTTAGAAAGTTTAAATTTATATTAATATTTCTGGGCCTTACTTGATTCAATGTCGTCATCTGTTGTTCTAAAATCACCGTCTCCTCTCTTTTCATCTTTTGGTCCTTTGTTAAATGGAGGCTTCCTACGGAAAAATAGAACATATTTCAATTATTGCATAATTATGTTAAAATATATATAGAAATTCTTATTCACACGTTTAGTCACTTAGTTACTTAGGCTTTTAATTAGTTGCTAAAAATATAACTACGAGAACAAGTTTTATTATTGCATTGCTTTCATTTCTTCATTATATTATTATATAATAAACATTTACATTGCAAAGTGTCATATTTGTCATTTTTCTAATATTTTGTATGCAGATAAACTCGTTTTACTATTATGAAAATAAAAAATATGCTCCAAAACTTAAAAAAATAACTTATAAATAATAGAAGCACGAAGGTTACAGATATAGTTACGAAATCTGTGACGTCACGGAAGAACAAACCTTTCAGCATAGTAACCCTGAGGAGTAATACCGGGTATAACGTCTACACGGCTAATCAGGCGGGAATTGCAAGAAAGGAAAGAAAAGTAATCCATATTTAAAAGAACAGAAAAATCATAATTTAAACAATGAAGCTTTAAACTTAGTATACATTATTTTTTGCTGGGAGATATCTGGGTGCAGGATTTAAACTTTTAACATTTTGACAGTGCTTCCCCTTTCTACACACAGGTTCATAGTTGAAAGGTTGAAAGATCAAAGCCCCCCGTAATAGAGCCCCATCGTCTTATTTAACCACACTAACGGATTATCATTAGTCTGAATAATGAATTTATGAGGTCCGTTTAGATAGAATTTTGACTTTTGTACTGCAAAGACAACGACAGCATACTTCCTTTAGATCGCAATGCACTTCTGTTTAAGTAGGTGGAAACGCTTTGCTAAGATACATTGTTGGATGGCTCTTCGCCATTACTATTTATCTTTGTTTGTACAACGTAAACACTAATATTAAAAGAATTGCATTGAACGATAAATGGTTACGAAAAGCTCGAATTGTGTAAGACTAGATTTTCTGGTAACAGTTCATTGACTTCAACAAACGTTTTTTAAATCAAATATCCAATTTTTAGTTGATTTTCAACATTCCCCTTCTAACAGATTTGTTAATGGTGCAAAAACCACAGAAAAGTTGGAAATATACCTTCAATAATGACTCGGAAGTCTTGAAAATGATCTGATATGTGTTTTCATGGTAGGTGTACAGTCCACGAAGTCATTTCAATTTATTTATTATATTTACGTCTTCCCGTCTTCTTTGACCTTGTTCTAGTACATGACCATAATATTTCACGGCCGTTTGCACAAACTAGCATTTCGAAGGCTTAATATGCAGTTTAGAAATTTTCATTTTTTCAAGATAATTTCGGGGTATTTCAACTGTTCATCCCAGGTTGGCGAGATTACTACGACGTCGTCAATATAGGGTACAGAAAATTTCTCACAGTTTTTGACATCAAACGGCTAAAATTATATGGCGCAAATTTTAACCTGGATGGTAACCTTAAGGGTTTGAGGGTGCAAAACTTGTCAAGAAAGCAACGTAATGCTGGGCTCTTTTATTTACTGGCATCTGTCAGTAACCTCGAGTAAGACCTAGAACAGTTATATATCTGGTAGATGACACTTTTTCTACTAACTAGTTTGTGCAATATTTGGCATGGGAAAATATTGTTTTCAAGTTGCTTTGTTCAAGCAACGATAATCAATGCATGATCTTGCCTCTTTTCGAGGAACATCAATCAGTACAATGAAGAGTTAAATCCGATTCACCTGGTTCTAGTACTTTGAGTTTTATCATCTTGTCTCTTTCAATTTTTAAAAATTGTCTGGCAGAGATTCGATAAAGTTTTCATATTACTTTACCTACTTCTAGTTCAACATCATGGTCTGTAAAGCATGCAGGTTCAATGAAGATAATACATGAATGCTTATATATCAACTGCTTTAAAGATGCCCGCTTATCTTCAGACAATAATGAATTTAACTGGAAACCTTGAAAAATTTCAGACATTTCAGTATTTGAACAGCACTTGAGTCTTGATATTTCATAGTCGTTTAAACTCTTTTCTAAATATAGTAAGCTTAAATTTTCTGCTCGTTAAAAATACGGTTTCAACATACTGATGTGGTACACCTAAGCTTTATTTTTCTCGGGAAACTTGATCATATAATTTGTCTTTGATAACTTTCGAACTATTTTTTCAGGACATACCCACTTAACCCATTTAACTAATACTTCGTTTGGCTTCGAAGGAGCCACAACTATAACTAAGTCTCCTTCTTGAAATTTACGTCCTACGGCTTTGTGACTGTACCATTTTTTTCTATTCTGTTTTGCCTTTAACTGTTTTTCTGTGGCTGTTTTGCCTTTAACTGTTTTTTGTGGCTGTTTTGCCTTTGACTGACAAGGTTTTCAGTTCTTTGGTTTCTTCCGTATGCTGGACAACGTTCTTGACATCACGTTGTTCGATTCATTAGTTCAAACACATATTCCACTATGCTTTTTTCTTTCTCTTCTTAGCCAGATAATTTTTCATATGATAGTACACTCAGCAAAGAAGTTAAGAGAAATTTCATATTTGATCTACGATCTCCAGAACTATTGGACAGATTTTAATAAAATTTGGTGTGAACATAGGTTGATATAATACAAACAAAATAAACATTCAGCAGTTATAATAGACAGACATGTTTGTGTGTAACACTCATGGGAAACTGAAGTTCTGAAACAGCGGTTGCAGAAGACATAAAAGAAATGGGTTAATAGGGAGTATGGTCCCCTCTTACAGCCATACAGGCCTCGAAGCGTGATGTCATGCTGGAAATAAGGCAGTTTATCAGTGTCTGTGGCAACTGGTCCCCCTATTTCAACAACGCTGTTTTCAGTTCCTGGATGGTTCTCGTAGGGCTGTTGCGAGTTGCAATTGCCCTCCCCAGTGCGTCCCAGAGATGCTGTATAGAGTTGAGGTCTAGAGATCTGGCTGGCCAATCCCTCCGGCGAATATCCTCACTATCGAGAAATTCGCCGACCAGAAGAACTCTATGTGGCCTCGCGTCCTGTAAGATGAACTCGGGACCTACTGTACCCCGGAAAAGGCGAACATAGGGCTTCAAGACCTCATCCCTATACCTCACACCAGTCATAGAGACCCTGTCAAAGACGTGGAGAGGTCTGCGGCCATCTAACATGATGCCTGCCCAGACCATTACACCGTCCCCGCCATAATTGTTGATTTAGCGGACATTGGAGGGTAGGTAGCGGGTCCCTGGTTCTCTCCATATGAAAGTACGGCGAGAATCGGTGTTTAGGCTAAAACGGGACTCGTCAGTGAACAGAACGGTCGCCCATTGCTCCGTACTCCAATCACTATGCTGCCTGCGCCATGCTAATCGGACTCTCCTGTCCGTAGACGTAAATGGGAGGCAAACAGCCGGTCTTCTGACAAACATCCCTCTCTCATTCAGTCTTTTGGAAACAGTCACCCTTGTTAAACGGGTTCCTGTGGCTGCATACAGGTCCCGAGAGAGTTGAAAAGCTGTGGCTCCTCTGTTACGCCTTGCTAAAATGGACAAATAGCGATCTTCTCTGACAGTCGTGGCTCTTAGACGACCTTTCCCAGGCTTTCTCTCGATAGATGTGTTTCCATAGGTTGCACACGACGCTGGGCGATAAATTAAACTCTCTGCATAACCGGACTTGCGATTGGTCTACCTCTAACTTCCTCACAATTCGCCATTTCATTCCATCATCTAAACGCCGGTGGTTACACATTTTTACTGTTCCAATGCTACAAAATTTACAAAATTAAATTAATTACAAAATTTAATCGATTGTTACAAAATAACACCAAGAAATTCGGAGTTTTGCCAGCGAACGCAATTCTTCTTACCCTCCACGCGCTTATAGAACCTGTTTTTCTGCTGGCTCCGCCTACACACACATGTACGCTTACGTATTTTCCGCACAAGATTTGCATTTTTATCTAGAAGCAGTGGTTTTTATTTCAGTTCAATTCTTTTTATGTAATTCGATAAAATATGCAAATTCTCTTAATTTATTTCACTAGTGTATAAATGGAGTCAGCAAATTTCAGCCGTGAAGTAATTCTGCTGGACAGAACCTTGTACTGTCGCGTATAGTAATTGAAAGAGAAAATAAAACCTGAGATACGATTTTTTACTAGTCTGGACTAGATTCTAGAGATAGCACTCGAAGGATTATTTTTAAAGTTCTGTGCATTCTCTCTACAGGATTGCTTTAAGGGTGGTAAGCAGAACTTCGTACAACTTTATTTCTAAAATTTTCTAGGAAATTAGATATACGCTAACTCATAAAAGACGTCACTTGATTGCTCTACACCTCTTTTAGAAGTCCTATTCGAGTAAAATTTTTTAAAAAAATATCAACAATAGTATATGTACCAAATGAATTTTATTGCTCAATCCAACTATATTCATTGGTGATTCCCTAGCTGATATTTCCTGATTTTACAATTTAAGTCACTATGTATATCTAATTCACGTGCTTTTGCTTCCAGAGACAAACGATGTTCTTTCACTTCGTGAGCCAGGCGTTTTGCATTTGCTTCCTAAGCCTGGCGTTTTCTTTCGCTTCCTCAGCTCTTAGGCATTATTCTTCAAGTTCTCGATCCTCAGTTACTCGATTTGGAATTAATTTAACTTCTTTCTCGTCGTAAAATTTACTTCCAGTGATAAAGTTTTTAATTTCTTTAACCTCATCCTCACCTAATTATTACGCTACTTATATTAAATCTTGCTTTCCATCCCTGGCAAGACACTGCTATAATATAAAATTCTTGGGATGCATATAAAAACTAATTTTAAAAGGTTTTCGGTCAATATTAAAAAATTCAATTCGTAATATTAATTAGCTAGCGCAATCTAGCAGTTTAATTTTGGTTGTAAATCAGAAATTATAATATGACACAAAGAACTTTACTTCAAAGAAAAGCTTCAGTCACATATTTCACATTATAATAAAAACATGTGCCTTTCGTTCAATAAAGATCTGCTGCGATTGCTGAAGGAATACTATAGTTATTAAAAAAATTCAAGACTTTAAATTGATTCCCACAACAAAATTCTTGATTTGGGACTATTCACCACTGTAATGCATGAGCTCAATTTTTTTAAAAAAAAAGAACACTATACTATCAGACTAGTATATGATGATATACTGCTTCGATATGCTGTCGTCAAAAGGTAGAGAATGTCTTACTCGAAGGTAATCTCAGAAACAAGTTGAAGTATGATAGTGAAGTCTCTCAAGAAATATCAGCTGTATTCTAGTAATATGTGATGAAAAGTAGTTGAGTGGCAGCTTTATAGATTGGTGAATTAATAGATATCATCGCTGAGTCACTGGCAAATAATCCTACTTGAAGCGCTGGGGATGTCAAATATCTCTGGTGGACAGGAGGTAGACGGAAGACAGATTGCTAGAATGTGTTAAAAATGGAGAAACGTCAATAGAATGCTCTCAAGATTTTCTTTTTCTTCAACGCAAATAAAA